TATCATGTAAAACACAAAAGGCTATTCAAGATTCTGTAGTACAATTTATGTGATGAAACAAACAGAAAATATGAAGTTAAAAAGCAAAAGGGAGCAGCAGTGATGATTGGATAAAAAGAACAGAAATAAACAGCAGTATTGATAATCATAGTGCATCTTATAAATGGTGACAGACTAAGCTACCTCTATGAGCTGGGTTTGAGAAAGGGTCAGACCACAGTGGGTCATAAAATACAGACTTACGTTGCATGTCTGCAAGAGGCTGATCGCGACTTAAAGTCATGACCTCTTGATCACAGGGCATCGACTTTTATCATTGTTATCTTTTTCTCTTAATAAATCATGCAAAACTTTCTTATTAAAAAGACATGCAAAGCTTAGTTATTAAAAACACAAAAAGACATGCAAAACTTTGTTATTAAAAAGACATTCACAATTCTGGGTAAAGGCCAGACCACACATTCAATGAAGTAAATATCCGCAGAAGGAATATCCTTTCAAACAAGACTCTCGAGACGGAAGATCTACCACTCTCACAGACACTCCTTCCGGCATCAAGTTTAGGATCTACCACTCTCACAGACACTCCTTCCGGCATCAAATTTGGCGCATGACTGGGTAACAAAAGTACCGCTAATAACTATCTCAAATCTTCAGATTAACTAACTGAAAGGACAATGATTTAACATAATATAACGTATGAAAAGCCGAAAAGTATAATTATTTAGGTGGGCGGGATGGGGGTGTGGAGTGAGGGATTTGGGGTTGTAGGGGTGGGATGGTCAAAGTGATGAAATTGGGTATGTTGTACAACTGTGTATTGGTTATTGATTTGTAGACATGTTCAATTGTTATAGAACATTAAGATATTGATTATCGGTTATTTATTGTTATTAGTTTGTTTATGTGCTTATGCATTAAGATTTCACACAAAAAAAGAATCATTGGAAATCATATAGAAACAAGGTGACAAACCAAATGAACCATGCACATTAGTTGACAAACATGCATCTTGCTCAACAACAAACACTTACACCTTGTGAAATAACCAAGAACTTGAGACAGTAGAAAGAAAGTATTAAATTAAACCCTAAGTCAAGGATTTTATAAACTGAATGGTATAAATATAATTTGTCAATTTACTATGGGGTCATTGGTTAACTCGTTAAGAAAAAAACTCGAACCGTTGAGTATTGATAACCCAATATTATAAAAAATCAAAACCATTAATGATATTGCTAAAAATCAATAACCTATTGGTTTGGGTTATTGGTCTTGGTTTGGGAATGAACAACCCTAGTATGTTGGGTGGTGTCGTTGGGGAGGGGTGGAATTTCGCTTATGAAACTTGTTTTCCTAAGAAGTTATTTTTTGAGCTTGTTTTTCTACAGAAAGGTCTTCAATATATTTAAGCAATCAATAGTGAACTTATATAGCGAGCAAGATCATTGGTAAGTGATTCTCCAAATAATTTTCAAGACTTCTCTTTGTTTGTTTATCAATTGATTTTCTATCACAAAAGTTATATGTCTCTTTATTCCCCTGGCTGTTTCTAGTCCCAGTCACTTCCTGTACAACACAAATGGTAAATGAATTATCTATTAATGATACTCCTAACAAGGTGTAAGCTCGCACAACTTTCCCCAAAAGACCTCACACCATTAAGAAATCCTACACCTGATATGTAGCTTCCCAATCTTTTCAGTTACCAATGTGGAGCTTTGTTCTCATGCCTATTAGCAGTCTGTCAACTTCGAGGCCTCATGTTGCTTCGATATCTAGCTATCTGGGACTGCCATTATCTCCATTTTGAATTGCTCATTTTTCCACCATAATTGTTGATAGGGATACAAGTAATGATTTAGAGAAATGGTGCTCTGGTATATGTAATTATAATTCTTTCTTTTTTCATTATTTATTTATTTATATTAACTTCTCCTTGCTTGTTAGTTAATTCTTTTCCTCTGTTAAATCTTTAAGCAGCGCAAAGCGTCTATTGCCACTGTGAAGCTGGGGATTAATCTTGGATCGGGATAAGTTTAATTTTAGATGACAGCAAAAAGGTAAGAAAAAGAAAGCTGGTATGGAATTGAAATAATCCGCTTCGGAAAGTTGATAGCTCAATGTAATATTAATGAACTAGTAATCTTTTACCATGCACATATATGTCAGTAGGATGTTTATTGTCTTGGAAATTCATTTTCAATTGCAATTCAAGAATTCTTTTTTTTTGTTTTTGTTTACTTCCCTTTGCTTTCTTGTTAATTCTTTTCCCTTGTTAAATCTTTGAGCAGTGCAAAACCTCTATTGCCACTGTGAAGCCAAGGAATCATCTTCAGATCGGGATGCATTTAATTTTAGCTGAAAAACAAAAAAACAAAAAGGTGATGGGAACACTGTAGACGAAATCTTAATGAACTAGAAATCTTTTACAATGCACATATATGTTAATTATTGCCTTTGGAAATTCATCTCAGTAGCAACACACGTATTCTCGTTAAGACTCTTCCACAGACTCAATTGTCTTAATGTAATATTAATGTACTAGTAAGACTCTCTTTGCTTGTCTATTAACATATTTTCTCCCTCAACTTGCAGACTGGAAATCATGAAAGTTGTTCGGCTTTGTTACCCATTTCTTGTCTCTTCCACGGAGATAAAGGGTCCAAAGGAATTCACTTTATCAGTCAGGTAGCCCAAACCTTGGAATTTAAAGAAATTGGAAAAGACTTCCAATATCTGCTTCTTTTATTTTAGGCATGTTGTATCATATTGGTTTCAAGTTTGATGCGACTGCATTTGATAGCATATACTGAGCTTTTGCCAGTATATGGATTTTTAGCACAATAGCTTTTGTTTTGTGTGTATATATACCAAAAAACTGAAAATAAATATACTTGTTTGTAATTGATGTAGTCTATGCATACTTGGTAAATTGACCAAATTTGGTGCTAATCCCTCACCCATACTCAGATCGTGTTGGATCGATCTAACCTCAGCTTTTGGATTGATGGTCACTTCATCTGGTATGCCTATGATATCTTCTTCTTTTTTTTTTTGCAGTTTCTCTCTGTCACATACTAATGAATATTAATACAAGCAATTATTTATCTTACTTGCCTCTTATGAATATATTTTCTCCCCCGAATCTTGCAGAATGCAAAATTAATCACCATTATGAAAGCTGTTCAGATTTGTTAGGATTTTGACAGCAATACAGCATTCAATTGTTGTCTCAACTAGATTGCTCCTTATCACTAATGTAAGTGTAGTTTTTCCAAAATGATAGCAAAAACATGAGTCCTTTTTCAGCAGTCACGTGATGCTAATTTCTTCTGTAATCATTTGAAATTTGATAAGCACAAAAAGATATTTTTACTTCCATAGCTTAGCCTTTACTAGTTTTGTATGCATGTCAATAAACCATTTTTTAAAGGATGATAGTTTTGATTAGTTTTGTTTGTATGTTATGAGAATGATCATCTCTAGGATGTATTTTAACCTATGTTCTCCCTCAAATCTCGCAGACTGGGAAAATTTTTGCCATCATGAAAAGCTGTTCAGCTTTGTTCCCCATTTCTTGTCTCTCCCACAGAGATAAGGGGTCCAAAGGAACACAACCTCATTTTTCAGTCAGGTAGCCAAAACCTTGAAAAGAGTTGCATCAATCTTGAAATTTAAAGAAATTCGAAAAGACTTCCAATATCTGCTTCCATATTAATTCCTTGTTATATCTCATTGATTTCATGTTTTATTATATGACTGCATTTGATAGCATATACTAAGCTTTTGTCAGTATTTGGATATTCAGAGATTTGGACTAAAGATATAAACAGTAAGCTGATAACTGTGGAGATTATAAGTTCCCTTCAAATGATTTTCATTACTCAACCTCGAGTGGGACCTCAGAACTAAGTGAAAGGCAAGGAAGTGTATCCTACTCGGAATCAATTCAAGGTTAGGTAACAAAAAACTATTTACACATGTTTCAGTTACCAATATGTTTACATTGTAGTGGTAGTAGTTGTAGTTTACTTTGTTAGAATTAACAACATAACCAAGAAAGCATCTTCTCTTAATAAATTCCTCTAGTTTTAGCTGATGCATATAAGCTGTTCAAAATATGACGTTGTCTTAATGCCGTTTGTTGCAATTTACTATCCAGATAATTTAATTTTGTGGAATGCTCCTTTTTTTAGTCTATAAGCTTGACTTGTTTGTTGATCCATTGTCATTGTAGGAGTTTTTCAATCTTGTCTTGTCTTGGAATTTACATCAGAAATTTATTTAAGGTTAGGCAACAAAACAGCATGTCAAATTTCAATCATCATTCGATAAAAGGACTAGTCATTTTCTATTCTCGGTGAAATCATCCAGTGCTATCAACTATCAGAACTGATATTTGTGAAAATTAATATACGTCTGATTTTGTTATAGCTGAGGCTGACACAAGCTCTGTGTATTGTACTGTTCAACCTTGATTTGGTCTGAGTAATTACTTGCAGTAGAAGGATTAGTCAGCCTATAGATTTGACGCTACTAGTTTAATGCTTGGCTGTGTTAACATCAATTCTTTTACCAAGTTCGTCAGCTTAATAGTGTTCACTTTGATTGGACTATTTCCAGAGAAGTTATTTCCCTTTTTCGAGTAAGTTGTGGAAGGAGGAAGTGGTTTAGAGTAATGCACATGTTTACTTTTTTGAATAGACAAATATCAGCTAAACTGCGATCAGTCAGCAGAGTGTAAGTGTAGAAAGGTACTTTCTCTTTTCGCTGAATCTGGCACTATTGAGCTAACTTTTGTACAAGGAGTTTCTCCTATAGCACGTTAAGATCGTTCCTATTTTCTTCTCTCCTGTTAGCAGTTCAACAAAGTGCAAGGTTTGATTGATCAGTTGCTCTGCCAAGATACAATGTCATTTCCTCATCGAGATTCTTTCAGTTATTGCTGAAGTTTGCCACCAGAACCAATGCATGCATTCCTTCCATCTCTCGAAAGAATGGTAGGCATTTCATTCTCAGAAAATGAGTCCTTTCCAGAATTGAGAAACTGTAATTGCTCAAATTCCCATTGTATCATTTTGTGTCTTTAACAGGTAAACATGTTTACCGCGAGATTTCCTTCCACCTGTATGTCTAAAATGTTCTCCTCTGGCTCAATGAATGACAAGTTAAAATGTTTGGCTTGAAATGCTGAACCTGCATTTAGACCAGAAGTGTTACAAGGTCAAGTTGATATGTCCAGATGGTGTTGTGCTCGATTTTGGTAATATTTCCATTCTCTAGATTGCTCTGTTGTGCGAGTGTTTGAAGCATCAGATGGAATTTTATTTTGTATGTATATATAGTAAGTGATGTTATTTCAAGTTATGCATATGATCTTAGTTAAGGTGCAGAAGCAAATATTGCTATTTTTTCCTCAAGAATGTTGAGGATTGAGATTATAAGTGTAATTACGAAAGACAAAGTTGGACCTCTTTATAGTGACGGACATATTTTTGGCTGCTATAGTGAATGATTGTTATTGTTACACACCATAATAACATTTGACGTTCAGATATTATTTGGCCGTTATTGACAAAACAAATAGGCAAGAAGTCATTTTTTATTAACATAAAGAAATTGGAAAACACCATTGAAACATTGGAGGAGTTGGAAAAGCAAATCGGTCGCCTTGATCTAACCAAGTATCTTGATTCGGGTAAACAAGAAACAAGGGAATCTTCAACTTCTGTTGTTGATGAATCTGATATCTTAGGTAGGCAGAAAGAAATAGAGGGATTGATTGATCGTTTGTTGTCTGAGGATGGAAAGAATCTGACTGTAGTTCCTGTTGTTGGAATGGGGGGCGTGGGCAAGACAACACTTGCTAAAGTTGTTTACAATGATGAGAATGTGAAAAAACATTTTGATTTGAAATCTTGGGTTTGTGTGTCTGAACCATATGATATTCTCAGAATAACAAAGGAGTTACTTCAAGAAATTGGTTTAACGGTTGATAACAATCTGAATCAACTTCAAGTCAAATTGAAGGAAGGCTTAAAGGGAAAAACATTTCTTATCGTCCTAGATGATGTGTGGAATGAAAACTATAAAGAGTGGGATGACTTGAGAAATCTTTTTGTACAAGGAGATGTAGGAAGTAAGATCATTGTGACGACACGTAAGGAGAGTGTTGCCTTGATGATGGGTTGTGGGGCAATCAACGTGGGGACTCTGTCTAGTGAAGTCTCTTGGGATCTATTCAAGCGACATTCATTTGAAAATAGGGATCCTGAGGAACATCCAGAACTTGAAGAGGTTGGAATACAAATTGCACACAAGTGCAAAGGATTGCCTTTAGCTCTAAAGGTACTTGCTGGTATTTTACGCTCCAAATCAGAGGTGGATGAGTGGAGAGACATTTTAAGAAGTGAAATATGGGAGCTGCAAAGTTGTGCGAATGGAATCTTACCAGCGTTGATGTTGAGCTACAATGATCTTCGTCCACAATTGAAGCGGTGTTTTGCTTTTTGTGCAATATATCCGAAAGATTATCTATTTTGCAAAGAACAAGTTATTCACCTGTGGATTGCTAATGGTCTTGTACAACAGTTGCATTCAGCTAACCATTACTTTCTCGAGTTGAGATCGAGATCATTGTTTGAAAAGGTCCGAGAGTCTTCTGAATGGAATTTGGGGGAGTTCTTAATGCATGACCTTGTCAATGATTTGGCCAAAATTGCATCTTCCAATCTGTGTATTAGGTTGGAAGAGATCGAAGCATCTCATATGTTGGAACAAAGTAGGCACATATCCTATTCAATGGAAAAAGGTAACTTAGAAAAGTTGAAACCCTTGTACAATTTGGAGCAGCTGAGGACATTGCTTCCCCTCAATATCCAGCAGTATTCATTCCCTCAAAGTAAGAGGGTTCTGCATGACATATTTCCAAGACTAACATCCCTAAGGGCACTATCACTGTCTCATTATCTGAATAGGGAGTTGCCAAATGACTTGTTTATCAAGTTAAAGCACCTAAGGTTTTTGGACCTCTCTGGGACATTCATAAAAAAGTTGCCAGATTCAATTTGTGTACTGTACAACTTAGAGACACTTCTCTTGTCACATTGTAGTTATCTTAAGGAGCTACCTCTGCATATGGAAAAATTGATCAACTTGCGGCACCTTGACATTAGCAAAGCTCATTTGAGGACACCACTACATCTAAGCAAGTTGAAAAGTCTCGATGTGCTAGTGGGAGCCAATTTTATTCTAAGTGGTCGCGGTGGTTTTAGAATGGAAGATTTGGGTGAAGTACATAATTTGTATGGATCTCTATCAATTCTAGAGTTGCAAAATGTGGTTGATAGAAGGGAATCTCTGAAGGCAAACATGAGGGAAAAGAAACATGTTGAAAGGTTATCTTTGGAGTGGAGTGGAAGTAATGCTGACAATTCACAAACTGAAAGAGAGATACTTGATGAGCTACAACCAAATACAAACATAAAAGAAGTCCAAATCATCGGATATAGAGGGACAAAATTTCCAAATTGGCTAGCTGATCATTCATTTCATAAGCTAATAGAAATGTCTCTTAGCTACTGCAAGGACTGTGATTCCTTGCCAGCACTAGGACAGCTTCCTTGTTTAAAATTCCTTACCATTAGAGGGATGCATCAAATAATTCACTACCGACCGAAGGTCTTCAGCGTCTCACGTGGCTTCGACGTCTAGAGATTGAGGATTGCCCTAATCTCCAATTTCTTCCCGAATCGGGGTTTCCCTCCTCCCTCTCTGAGCTGTGCATTTGGAATTGCTCTAATCTCCAACCTCTTCCCGAATCAGGGATGCCCCCTTCCATCTCTAATCTATATATTTCCAAATGCCCATTGCTCAAACCACTCCTACAATTTGACAAGGGGGATTACTGGCCAAAAATTGCTCATATTCCCACCATATATATTGATGGGGAATACCAGTAATGATTACAAAAAAGGGTGCTCTGATTAATTGTAAGTTAAAATTCTTTATTTTTTTGTTTACTTCCCTTTTCTTGCTTGTAATTCTTTTCCTTTGTTAAATCCTTGAGCAGCACAAAGCGTCTATTGCCACTGTGAAGCTGAGGAATCATCTTTGGATCAGGATGAATTTAATTTTAGATGACAGCAAAAAAGGTGATAAAACGGAAGCTGGTATATGTAGGAATGGAAATTATTTACTTCGGACAGTTGATAGCATTTCATGTATTCTTGTTCTTTCCGTTTTTCAGTGAGTTAGTTGATCAAGGCTGTAGGAGAATAGAGGTTTAGAGTAATGAACATGCTCACTCGTAAATGCATAGCTCTAATAGAATTCAGAGGTATACAAGACACAAACTTCTTATGTTTTACTAAAGAAAACAAATTATACTTGAACCTAGTTGTATTGTACCTACAAAGAATTAAACTATTTAAACCACATAGTATTTCTTTTAAAACTAATTAAAATTAAATATTTTAATATGTAGAAAGTTTATGTATACTATCTAGATAACGAGTTGTTGGGAAATTATGAATACACGATAGACATCATTCACCTTTCATACTGCAATTTTTTTTCCATAAATCTCACTAATTTAGGAGCTAATCACTAAGATATACTCTAATTTGTAATATTACGTATTTTACTAGATTTTAGGGCATTCCGATATGTTTAGATACATTCAAATACATGTATCTCGATAGAGATAAGTGTCAAAAACACACCTAAACTATTCCATTTTTTTGAGTTTCATACTTAAACTATTGAGAGTGTGAGTTTCATACCTAAATTATCACTTTTTAGTTTGAGAAACACACCTATGAGGTGTGTGTAATGCACTCTCTCTTTTATTTGAAAAAACCTCAACACATGGCATTCCACATAGATAAAATATTCCACCTTGACAAATAATAAAAAAATAAATTATTAATATTAATAAAAAAATTAAAGTATTACTATCCCCCAAAAAAATAAAAAATAAATAAATAATAAATATATATATATAAAATTTTAAATTAAATTATTTATCTTACCCCATTCCACCACCTCCTCCCGTACCCCCCCCCCCCCACCCCCACAATCCCCGTCCTTTTTTTTTTAGAACAAAACCACTCACTCATTCCCCCAAAAAAATTATATTATTTTTATTTTTAAAAAAAAATCTACCCATCCTATTTAACCCTCCACTTCTAATTTATTTATTTATTTTACATTTTTTTTGTTTTGTGTTATATATGTACATATATTTCTAGGATTTTTTTTTACTTGTGTACCGTATATAACATAAATAGAAAAATTATTTTAAAAAAGTCTTGCGGCGGCAAGTAACAAATATTTTTGATATATATATATATATATATATACACACAAAATGAGAAAAGAAATTGGAAGCAGAGGGTTATGTGACTAGTGAATAGAATTATTTTTAAGAAAATAAAATAATATCTAAATTAGAATTGGAAGGGGGATGAAGTAAAAAAAAATATTTATATTACTTTTTTATTTTACAAATAAAATATTATTTTTTTTGGATAATAATTTTAATCTTTAATTTTAACTAATACTAATAATTTATTTAATTTTTGTCAAAGTGAAATATTTTGTCCATGTGGAGTGTGATGTGACAATTTTTAAAATAAAAGAGAGAGTGTATTACACTCACCATGGTGAGAGTGGTATAAAAGAGAGAGATGTGTTTCTCAAACTAACAAGTGATAATTTACGTATGAAACTCACACTCTCTAGTAGTTTAGGTATGAAACTCAAAAAAGAGATATAGTTTAGGTGTGTTTTTGAAACTTATCTCATCTCGATATAAATGAGATCAAAATTAGGTGTAATTGAATATTTGTATTTAAGTGGATTCGCATGTATTTGAGACTAGTCATGGACACGTGCGTTGCACCTGTGAGCCATGCTAAGTTGTCTCATTCTCTCGATAGACATTTGTAAAGCAGTGTTGTTATGAGTGTGTGCACCAGGTAACTCTATCGACCGAAACTTTGGCCAATTAGGAAGAAATCACCAAGTGCCTTTGTCAACATACTTTATTAAAAATGATAAAGATTTTCAGCACACTCGTCCAGACTTTGACTCAGAACTCAATTTTTTGCAGCAATTGCTATATATTAGCACACTTTTATGAAGAATTACAGAGATGCCAAAACCCCTCCAAAAAGAAAGGCAATTGCAATGTATTTAAGGGCATTTTCAATCCAGCAGCTGCACGAAGCCACCAGCTGTATCAAGAATAAATTAGGCCAAGGAGCTTCTGGTGGTGTTTATAGCGGAATTCTCAAGTTAGAGGATGAAGAAGTTGAAGTTGCTGTGAAGAAATTAGGAATGGAATTGAACAAGGTGATGATAAAGAATTTTTGGCAGAAGTAAGGGTGATAGGCCTAACACATTAGAAAAATCTAGTTCATTTGTTAGGCTTCTGCAATGAAAAAAGCAACAGGCTTGTTGTTTATGAATTATTGAAAAATGGGGCTGTCAAATTTGATCTTTTGCGATGGACAAAGACCAAGCTATAAGCTAAGAAATGACACAGAACTTGACATTGCCAGAGGTCTGTTATACTTTCATGAAGAGTGCGACAACCAGATCATTCATTGCGACATTAAGCCACAAAATATCCTTCTTGACAAGAACAACACTGCAACAATACTGATCAACACCCTTGAGAAACAGGGTAAAAAGAACAAACTACAATGTCAAACCACTGTTTTCATTAAATAAACTAAGTCGGAGCACTGATACATGAATCAATATCATTTCCTACTGTAAGTGATATAAACTTGTCTTTAAATAATAACATAGGGCATTTACAGATCAAATTAGACCCATCATAAGCCTCTTTAAGTATCACGGTACTCCTGACACCTTTATTAGTGATGTAGAATACACCATGTTGTTTGATTAAGCAAAGCAAAAGTCTAGCTGGTAACTGTTCTTTAAGTATCACGGTACTCCTGACACCTTTATTAGTGATGCAGAATATACTATGTTGTTTGATTAAGCAAAGCAAAAGTCTAGCTGGTAACTGTAACTCGGAATGAAATGCATCTATTTGAGCAGATGTCAACCTCTTTTCCATAGTCAAACTAAGGAGCTTGTGAAGCACTGCAACTACTCGTTCAGTAGTAAAAGAGGAGTAAAGTTATATTTTTTCATGGCGATTCTTGAAGGCAATGATTAGCTAACTACAGAAAAGGACACACTGGCAAATCTGGAAAATACTCTCAAGGACAATTAAAATGGGAGAAGAGGATCCAGATGGCTAAACAACAACTCAGATAAAATGATCGTTCAACTCATCATAAAAGGAAAATATTCCACAAGTGGGATTAAATGATGGATCATCTACATATCTAACCAATCAACAACAACATACGTAGTGTAGTTCCACAAGTGGGATTTAGGGTAGATATTCAACTTATCATAGAGCAAAATTGCAATCAAATTTCTTTTATTAGAACACTCACAATGTCAACTATTTCAACACATAAAACTTATATTCAATCAGTAAAAATGGGAGGAAGATAAACAAATGACAAGGTCCTTCTGGAACAAAAAAAAAGAGTTCCTGCATTAAAATCATAATGGAGTTTTTAGGACTACCTGAACCGCTGCAGGATCAGATTCATGCAAAAGTTTCCAATAAACTGCTGTTAGAAGCTGCATATGAAAGAGAACCATTAGGCACAACATTGCTAACAACTTTCGTACTTGATACAGATCCCAGACATGCGGATCACAAAGAAAAAAAATTGCTAACGACTTAAAATGCATGCTTTCAAGCAGAATCAAGAAGTAAAAGATAGAAATTTTACTTTACTGACCATACTTATTGATTAAACAACAATATGAGGAGAAATTTTTTTTACCTGACAATGTTGTATTTGATTGAGGCACAGAAAAGAGTAACAGCTAATTGGCAATAACAACTTGTTGGAGACATTTATATAGATGCCTGAAGTATCTGTAAAGGCTTTTGATCAGCTGAACCTGAGCGTCGAAAAAGGTCTGTCGCACTGATCGAGGAGTTTGAGCAGAAACTCTACGTTTCTGTTACGTTGAACGATGAGGCTGAGGCAACGTTTGGTTTCTGGAGAATTAAATTAGGTATTATCAGCTAATTTATTATAAATTAATATTTATTATGAGCTAATTTATAATAAATTAATATTTATGAAAACTGTAGGGTTAAAACGGTAAATCAATTTTTGGGTTAAACTCTTCCTACTTATAATAATATATGATGATATGATGATGATATGATATGATGATATATAAAAGATAGAAGCTCCTGGTAGGGAGGGGTTAAAAAATATAAAAGAATTGAACATATCATTTACTTTTGGCACAACTTGTGCTGTGTCTTATTTGGCCCTAGCTA